CCCAAGCCGCTTCCCAATCCTTACTCCGCAATGGCCAAGTTGGTGCTCTGGGAACCAGTTGCACGCCCAAGCTCCTGATCCTCAGTTCTGGAGTGTTCCCCGCCCTCCATACCCGGGTCCAAATCTCCTGGTTTCCTTCTCTCTGCTCTACTTCCTCCAGCTGCGTGGTCTAGCTTGTACGCCTTTGCCTTTCCCTGGGTCGGCCGCCAGCTGGGCACGACCCTGAGCTCTTCTGTTTAGTCCTCCAGCAACATATCCAGGGGCACAGCCTGCTCCCTCGCTGTGGGCTGCGCTTCTAGGTTGGGGACCGCGACCCCAAAGTCACCGATCCGCTCTGATTTGCAGACTAACGCACCAGTCTGCAGGTTGCTGGAGCCCGGGAGACCTGGAAGGAGGGGCGGGGCGGCCGGAGCTAGCAGCTGGGCCGGAGGCTGCTTCCACACCCCAGCACCTTCATTCCTTGCCTTTGGTTGGGGAGGAAAAGCGAGGGGGCGCTGGTGTCCCTGTAGGTGGGCATGGAAACCGCGCTGTTGCTGCTGCGCACTTGTTTTCCTGCTGCTTGTGTTCCGAACACGGAGCGGGCACTGCCAGACACCGAGGTTTCCCAGCCTGAGATGGAAGTAAAAATAATCGTGGGTTTTGGAATACTGACGTTGCCTTGGATCTGTTCTGGCATAAATGTCTTTGGCTTATTACATAGTCATAAAAATAACACGGGGAATCTGCATTCATTGTAATAATAAGAATTTATAACAAAAAACACTGTTATGCGTGTTTTAGACATGCTGTGAAGGTTAAGTCACATTGTTTAGCTTAAACCTAGAAGTAGAAGTTGCTGTCTCCCTTGCCCTACCTTTCTGCCCCGGAGACTGTAGTTCTGACTATTGGGTGACTTGACTGAGCCCACACAGCCAATAGCTGCCATTAGAAGTCGGGTCAGTCTGATTTCAAGCCAGAAACTTATTTCCCAAAGACAGTGCATTGTCTGAATACACAGAAGAAGGGCGTGTTTAGCTTCTCTGAGAAAGTGCAAACAGAGCCTCTTCGCATAATTTGTGAAAACTTTCAAATCATGTCAATATTTGGACTTATTTGAACTGCATACCCATTTTAGAGGTGGCCACCTGGAAATCTGAGTGGTGGCACTTGGTGATTGCAGAGCTCAGCGTTAGCAGTGGTTTTTGTCACTGAACATTAGTGACATGACCTTGGCTGAGTAACTTTTTTCTAGGCAGTTTCTCATCTGGGAATATTGTGGCTATGTAAATAAAATAATTGTCCTGGGAGTGCTTGATAACCTGTAAACCTCTTCGTATATATTAGGAATTACTGAAACCCCCCACTTAATAGACTAATAAAATGCATCTCAGAGGTACCAAATGTGTGGTTTTGCTGTTCACACAGCTAAAAATCCATACAGGCAGTACACAATCCTTGTGCTTAATCTTGTGATTATTTTTCAATTGTTTATAATCTACCACCTAATGCCAGGTGTCTTATTTTATGCTTGATGCATAAAGTCATAAAATATGGTACAGTTTGCAGTGAACTTACATTTAGACTTGTCTCTCTCAATTAATACATGAATTATTTTTGGTGGGAGGCTAAGGCTATGCTACTTGAATTAAGTAATTCAAGTCTTACGGGCTTATTATCAAAATATAATTTTTAAACTGAGAAAACACATCATTAGGTTCTGAGTGAAATTAAACTCAGTATTTTCCCCCATTGTCTCCCCTTAGAAATTGCTTATTATCATCAAAGCATAGTAGAGCTGTATGTCAAATAACCCAAGAAACTGCAGCAGCGAAACCAATTTCAACCCCAAGTGCTTACACATTTGAGACCCATTTCAGATTCATTGATGGAATGAAGAAACTATAAATATGCCTTTCTAGATGCAGAAAGATTAAAATGATATTAAACAGAAAGTCCAATGATTCTATGTAATGCGTTTATTCAACTTTTTGGGCTTTCAACAATAGCTGCAAAGATTAAAGCGATAGATCATGGACATAGCAATATTCTAGATTATTTCAGTCAGAAATACAATTTTCTTTAATACAATCTTCTGTTTTGATTGTGTGCTTTTCAGAGTGAATGTGTGCTTTTTTGGGATGAGCGTTGTGATATATCCCTTTGTGGATCTTAAATCTTCAGGGACACTAATGAAATGTGTATGAAAAACAAGAGAGAAATCAGGGCCAGTTATCTGCGACAATCCACCCCAAATGAGAAAATAAATAAATAAATAGCTGGACAAATGAACAAAAAAGGAAAAACATAATCTCATTTTCTTAAATCGGTTAAAACAAGTGACATGATGAGAAAAAATGAGACACCAGCAGACCCTGAGCTTTGCCACATTTGCCTAAGCTTGAAAAATCGCCTCCTTCCTAAAGCAGGAGCAGTCAGACACTGCGTGCATACCAAGTATCCAGGAAATGGGAAAAATGACAAATCTTTCGCTCAGAGTCCTGACTGGGTGGAGAGGGAAGGCTTTACAGCTCTCTCCTCACCTGCTTAGGAGCATTGCACCCACCCCTGCCTCTTATAGGTAGCTTCCCCATCCCCTACACAGTAAGATTGATGGTGCTCCGATCCCAAGCAGCCAATTTCAGTCTCTCAAGAAATAATCCACTACACTGACAGATGAGTGGAATTTGACGCGATGTTCCCCTCGTTCAGTTTGTGCACACCTGGATGGCACCAGCCAGTCCAGGTCCTTTAGGAGAAATAGAGATTTGGACCAATTTCTGCTGTCAAAACATAAAATCAGGACAGTGTTTTTGTGATGACTTGAATTTGTGATGTTTTCTCAATGCAGTGGGTTTGTACACAAATAGAAGGAGAATATGTTAACTAGAAAACTGACTGATTTTAATGGATTCCCCCGCAGTCCCTTGATGCTTCCTATTTCTCATATTTATAGTATTAGGAATGCACCATTTATTTTCAGTTACTCACTTGTTAAGGAAGATTAAAACAGTCAATCAAATAAAAGTGAATTTTAAAATTACATAGAAGAGTAAAATGTGCTATAGATTAATGGATTTCTAATTATAAGAAGTTACTATTTTGCTAACTCAAGTTTTTATTTGGGAAATGATGTAGGAAATTATAGCAATTTGAAGAACATTCATGCCTTTTTTTAAATGCATAAAGTAAAGCTAGAAGAACACTTAATTTAAAAAAAGACTAAATAATCAAAGCTCCAAAGTGGTATCTGTTGTTTCAGGTCAGTAAAACAGACAGTTTCCAATCTTTATTATCACCAGTTGTATCACAGGTAAAAAAGGATAAATGGATTGTTACTATAACTTTCTGATTTAGGATTCATTTTATGCTGCTTATGGGATATATGAGTTGTGACAACAATTTTAATGATTAATTTCCTGTGTGGATGTATACCTGTATTTATGTGGGTGTGTGGGGTGTCTTTAAAACTTAATAAAATAGGGATCACTTCAAGGTACTTTAGTGAGAAAAGAATCTTGGAATTCTTTAAATATTTAACATTATAAAGATAAATTACATGAGACCAGAGTTTACATGGATTAATGAATCATTTGAGTCACTACTGTCTATTGACAGGAGTAGATGGAAGTGATATATAAGATTACTGTCAATAGAATTATGTATGTAAATATAGACTGATTTAAGGCTTTATTAAGCAAACAATGTATTTAGAGCTATCTATTTATAACTTAGTTATTTCATACTAAACATCATTTAAAAATGTGGTATTTTTGGTTAAAATATTAAAAAGCATTGTGATATGTTTTATATATTTTTTATTTGCTGTTTAACATTACTTTGTTGGAAACTGCTTAAGGGATATGCATTAAAAGGCCAAGGTATGTTACAATAAAATATTACTTTATAATTGTAATGTAAAAGAAATAGTGAGAGCAGCTGTGGTTTTGTATTGGCTTTTTAAAAATGCACACCAGTACTGGATTGCTAAGTGTAGTGAATTGGCCTAAGGATTAAAGCAGACAGGTGTTATTGGTGTAAGCTGGTGCTAGTGATAATCCATTGATCATCTGATTGATGATATTGACCTCATCCCAGAGTCAGAGTGCAGCTTTGGACATTTTGGTAAAACCCCACTGCATCAAAACCCAGTAGAGAGGCAAATAAAAATTCCTGTTGATCCCATGAACTTATGAGATAATTATTAAAATTTATATAAATACTGTTACTTATGTGAGCTCAGCCTTGGCTTTCATTAATAATTAAGGAAAGTAGGTATCATACCATACTGAAACCACATATCTAGAAGTGACATAAATGAACATTAGCCTTCAATTGTTAAGTTTTTAAAGTCTATTTGAGATGACACATTGAACCTTTTAAAACTATTCCAATTTTAAATTGTGTAAAAATCAAAGCTTCAGTGTATAAATTGGTCCACCATTAAAAAAATTTGGGCAGTTTCTCCTAAATACAAAATGTGTAAGTCTGAACACAATTCCATTTCCAGATATTTATTGCAAGAAAATGACTGGGACAGGTCTAAATGGTTAAGTTAGCCATTGCGACAAAGATACTAATGGTAATAATTAGTGGGGAGTTTCATCTCCAGCAAAAGGGAGGGAATCTGTAAGTTGAATCATTGTACATTCGCAGATGATGGGATTGAATGTAGTCACTGCAAAGGATGAGATATGTTTATATGGACTCACGTAGAATAATGTCCATGATATAGCTGAGTGAAATAAACACAGAATGCTCAGCTTCAAAATAATTTTGAAGAAAAAAAATACTTGTACATGCATCAAAAAATGTCATGAAGGGTACAGATATCCTCTATGATAGTTAAATCTGTTGGGATGACAGGGATGGCTCAGAGTTTTTATTTAACATTCTATTTATTATATATTCTTAAATTCATTTTAATATGGATATATTACTTTTTAATAAGAAGCTTTTAATAGCTATAGAGAGTTTTTGTGGTAAAATTGGAAATATATCAAACTGAGTTTCCAGTTTAAGGAAAAAGAAAGAAATAGAGGTGGAAAAATATCACAAGTTCCTTTTCTTTCTAAAAGCCTTAATCCAACAAAAAGCTTCAGCCAGTATTTCCCAGGTTGCAAAACACTGTCCA